CCTCTTTATTTAATTCATGAGTGGCGATAGTATCACGTATTTGCTTTGCTAACTGAGTAATACCGCCAATGCCTTTAATTGCAGTAGAACCGACACTCATAACCATTCCAATAGAAATTGGATCTCCCATCTATATATTTATAGATTGATGATTATACAATATAAAATAATATAAGGAATCATAAAATTAAAGTCGAATATATACCTTTATCATGGTTACTTCTTATGCAATTAGTTATGACGTGTAAAAAAATTTACAACTACTAGCTATCTTGTGAGTCATTTTTATGGTCTATATATTGAAAAATCATCAACTAATTGTCATAATCAATATGAAAAATCATTTGAATCAACACTTTTTGAACTTGAACATGCAGATACAACAGATTTTACTCGAGGTTTTCTTTTTTTTCTATTAAGGAATATCTGGTTTATATAATTTAGGTAATACATGTTATATGAATTCAGCTTTCCAAGCTCTTTCAAACTAGTAAATGAAAATGAATTATTTTTTTCTTATATTTATTTTATTTCATAAAAGTGCTCCATTAACAAGTTATTTTCTTGATTGTATTCCATTCGCTGCCAATAATACATATTATCGGGTAATGAAGATTCACGATCATCATCACATAATAAATCAATGGAAGATTAGTCAAAGCTTATTCAAAATTTATTGAATCAATGTGCACAAAACCAAATCATGGACGAGAAAAGTTTGAAATAGTTTTTCTTGTGTGTTTGTTTTTTTAAAACTTAGTCAAGTAATGAATCCAAATCTGATAGCAACAGAAATTCGTTCTTATATTCAACAAGTTTGATTTGAAAAGTAGAATTTCTTCGATGTTTTATGGATGAATTACATTCAGATGATAAATATCGAAATGAAAATAGTGTAATGGCAATTCTCATACCTAAGTATGTATGTTAATTAATAAATTTTTTTTCTAGAAATTATAAATTAAAAATAGAGATTAACTATTCATGTGAAATATACTTAAACTTTATATATCACAACGATTATTTGTTTTTTAATAGTTCCAGTACAATTCGTATCTTTGTTTCGATTTAGAGAACTCTTTCGCAAATTTATTGAATACTTGTTTTTTTTCAATTGATTCTAATTTCTATAAGACTTCTAGAATACACTATATATCTATCTGTCATATATAGAGTTATTTCTTTATATATCCATTCTTGTACATCTTTGTTCTATTCAAGTCTCGTTAAGAAAATCCTTGAAGAATCTCTTATAATATATTAGTACGATGCGTTATAAAAGAAATGATTAAAAGAAATATGAAAAATATAGGATTTTGATAATTAATT